TCTTCCACGTAAGATATGATAAATGCTGTTTCCATTCATGGATATATGATAATGTAGAATATCATTTCTATATTTACTTCCCATTAATTTCATTATTTATTTTTTATGGAATAAAAAAGTTTAAAAGCTAATATTTTTATTGGAAACCTTTAATTATATTTTTATTCTTGATGAAAAAACAGAAAAAATAATGAAATAATAACCAATAAGAGTGTGATATATGCGAATGAGAAAGGAGAAAAAACAAATGAATACAAGCATCAAAATTGAATTTTCTAAGAATAAACGGAAAAAACAAATAAATATATAAACTTTTAATTTGATAAAAAGAAAAAATACATCAATTTTTTTAATGTCTTCCAAAACCTATGCATGTCAATTTACTATACGAACAATAACGATATAAAAAAAAACTAACGGGATTTAATGGCCGTAAATATGATGCCGCACCATGGTAAGTTCATTATCTCGTTAACTAGACATTATGTCAACAAATAAATAATAAATAATAAATTACAAAATAGATACATATATATATGTATGTGTATATAGGTGTATTCAACTATGGACCGGATCAAATCAAATGATCTTTTAGCCCAACCTCAAGTGGTGAAGATGATAAACATAAACGCAAACGCAAACGCTCTCCTCCGCGCGTCTGGGTTTCGTTTATCGTGATTTTGGGATTTAGAATGACCATTATGAACTCCAACATGAACACATCTAATAATTGAATCGAATAACATATAACCAACCGTAATCGAATCAAATATGATTTAAAAATGAACGATTATAATTTTTCTAAATCTGAAAAAACTAAAACCGAACCAAATAGATCCAGATAAAAAAACGAAATAACTGCGACAATTGCTTTAAAAACATGAATTTTTTTTATCAATAAAAAACGAATACAAAATGAACCGAACCGATCTTAAGTTAATATAAAAACCGAATGATTATCCGAATATAATTCAACCGAATCCGAATCGAAATCCGAAATGGTCACTTCTAAAATGTAAAATGAAATATTTGATATTGGCATTAAAAAAAATGGCATATCTGTGACGGTATAGACAGAAATATACAACAACAAGAAAACCCTTCCTTCTCTCTCTTCCGTTTTCACAGTAAATTTTTATTCACAGTTTCGTTTCCCAGCAACCAACAACAAAGTTTTCCACTTCTATTCTTCTTCTACCCCAAAAAAAAATATATGGCTCCCTCCTCCTGTACCCGCAGAAACGAAATTACGCTTTTACCCCTGAACCCGACGGATATGATATATATATCTGTGTGTATATATATATATATATGTTCAGACCATCTCGAGGATCTTGATGTTGCCGGTGGAGTTGGCAGCGACCACAGTGGAAGACTGTCCTCTCCAGCAAACTGAAGATATGAACTGGGAACTGTCTTCAACCTCTATCCCCGACACCGGATCTGTGCTGCTGAACATGAACGACGTTACCGCCATTGGAAATGCCTTGTGGTACACGTAAACCTGTCGGAAAACCTCTCCCCATCATTTTTAGCCCCCCCAAAAGAAATGGCAATTAGGGTTTCTTGAAGTGGCCTACCTCGTTGGTCTCAGATCCTGTGGCTATGTACCCATCAGAAACCGACAGCCCTACGAAGTTCTGCATCATCATCAGACGGGTCGACATCTCATCAGGTTCAGACACCGTGAAATGGGTGCCGGAAAAGATCGATTCTTTCCGAAAATGTCGACAGAAAGATTGTACCTTTACATTGGTATGGCCCATGAATGAGTGAAGAGGAGCTTTGTTAACACCTGATGCGGCCATGGATACGTCCCATAGCTTCAAGGTGTTGTCCGTGGACGAAGACACGACCGTTTTCGAATCCAGAAACCTGACGTAACTCACTGTCTTGCTGTGTCCGATCATCGTGCACAGCGGGATTTTCGGGTTCCGTAGATCGTAGTAATACACTTTGTGATCTGCCGACCCGAATGCTAGATTCCGTCCTGAATCCGACGGGAACTGGACGCAACATATGTTAGCCTTCGTCTTGATTGTTCCGATACTCGTCCCCTGAATCCACCAAAAAAAAAGGCGAGAAAACCAAGATCACCCACCATACACGGCGGAATGAGATATTACAGGTTCGAGAAATTCGACATATATATGAAAAAAAGTACGTTTTGTTTTAGTTTTCAATAGCCGACATTGGAATTAGAATTGCCTGATTGATACTCCATAGCTTGACAGTTCCGTCGTCGCTCCCACTGGCCAGCAACGTCGGATCTGCTGACGAGATATCGATGGACCAAACCCGCTTCTCGTGCTCTCTCATTTCCGTAATCAACTGGCTTCTTGAAACATCCCATACCTAAACACGGGATAACCCGTAACCAAACAGGTTTAACCTTGCGAAATAAATCGTTATCGATCTCAAATGACGATTTAGATGAACTAACCTGAACCACGCCTTCGAAGTTACAAGACGCTACTTGGCTTTTTATGTAGGAATTCCAGCATATACCGCTTAACTTCGACCGACTTGCCAGTTCTGCCACTGGATAGTGAATATCCCGGCTATCGTTCATAATGGCGTTGCATTCGAATACCTTGATTTTCTTGTTGACTCCGGCCGTGGCGAAAAACTCCCCATCTCGATCGAACGCAATCGAGCAAACGAGGTTGGAAGAGTTCAACAAGTCTCCTTGTTTCAAATCCGCTTTCACTCTTAGCTTACTGAAAGATAAGTATTTGCACAAACCCTCGAGGAAAGGGTTGATCCACCCGCCTAGTCTCGGAACGTTGCTTACATCTTTGGATGCCAAGTTACTAATCGAACTTCTCTCCGAGACAGCCATCGAACCTCTACCGTCACTGCATACCGGCGAATGTCGAGACAATGATTTCCCGGCCGCCTTGATTTGTCTGTATCTCGTCAAGAAGTAGACGGATTCCAGTTTCTTGAAATTTCTCATCAGCCGGGAGCTTTGAAGAAGCGTACTCTCTCGATTCTCCCCAAGTTTCAACTCCTCATCATCCATTGTACTTGTCTGAATTCCTTGTCTGAACCGTTTTCTCGAGACCAAGATCGAGGGATCTTCCTGTTCCGTTATGTTCAGCAGCGGCTGACGGCTGGAATTAGATTGATCATCCCTTCGGGAACCCGGGGACGAGGTCCCTTTCTTCTTCAGAATCGATTGCTGTTTCACGACTTCTTCGACGTCAGATGAAAGAAGTAAAACCGTGTCCTGCAATTTATCCGCGTATTCTTGTTTCCTTTGCTGAATCAGTAACAAAAACTCGAGCAGTAACTCCTGTTCCTCGATCCTATCTCGTATCTCTATCGCTGCTTCACGTTCTTCCAAATCGTCTCTTGGTTCGTTAAGAAACTCGCTTTGGAGCAACTCGCTGTTTCAGTACAAGAAATACGAGAATCTTGAGGACACAAACACCGGTATCAACTAAGAATTTTGTTTTAGAAGATCAAAACGGAAACAGAAACGAGATCGAGGAAAAGGGTTCTGCTAAACGGATAGATTTACCTCATCGTGGGCCGGCAACTGGGGTCGGGATGCAGTAGCCACAAGCAAAAGGAAGCTTCTTTCGGCCATTTGAGCAACAACTGAGTCGGAAGAACACGATGTCTCAAGCTAGACATAGTTCTCGACTTCTCTTCTCTCGAGGGAACCGGGCAGAATAGCTGCACGGAGCTAACGTTCATCAAATCATTTTCACATAACTAAACACTCAAACCCGATGAAAAAGTAAGGCGTAAAAATCGAAATTCTATCAAGATTGAGGCATGGATAGTTCAAGAAACATGTTGTCTCTAATCTCAAACCTCAAAAAGAAGAACACCGAGGCGGTAGACATCAGAAGCACATGTACTAGGAGAGTCTATATCCTCTTCCGGGCTCGTATACCAGCTCGTCTCCTTCGCCAGTATCTGTTTCATCGGAAAAGATTGCTTCTTTTCATCCTCTAGTTGCTCGTCTTGTCTCTCTTCTCGTAAACTAGCCTGAGACAATGCATTCAGACGACAACCGAGGTTGCGCGATTGAAGATCCTCTCTGGCCGAGCTACCAATCTCTTGATGCAAACCGCGTGGTTCCTTGTGACTGTTAAGCCCGTCTTCTAACGAATCAGACCCGGAATCCGAACAGGAAGCCGATTCGATGAACGAAACGTGGTTAAACGAAGACATGACAAAGCAGGACGGCCGGACATTCTGGACGACAATGCCTTGGGAGTGGGCCACGTTTACAATCTCCACGATTTGTCTGAAAATGTGCAGACACTCGAACACATCCACAGATCGTTCAGGCTTGTCCAGCCACTCTCTCAGGCTGACGTCGCCCCATTCCAAGCTTCTCACGAAATGTCGAAGCCCAGATTCTTCTTCTTCAAAACCCTTCTGGGCACCCAACAGGTTTCTGACGTAATCGACATGGGACAAAGACTTGTCAAACTCCTTCCTGACCTCGTGATCACTCGAAGCATCAGCCGAACGAGTGATTCTCTCGATGGGGGAGAAGTCAGTGTTCCTATCTGAAACCCCAGAGGTGTTCAAGCCTCTAGAATTAGATTCTGATGTACCCTCCATTGATCATCCGCCATAAGCTAGCCGGAAACCGCCGTACACAAACCCAAGTAACCGATGACTCCTCCGGATTCTCCAATTCCCAATCACTCCGACCGCAACCATGTCGGATTCAACAGCTCATTTCATCACCACCACAACACAACATCACGAAGAAAAACCCAACCCTTTTTTTCTCTTCAGACAGTCACGATTCAGACCCGACCAAGACGCGAACTCTCGGAATGCAAACCCGCCTGAGTCACGAAAGCACTGAAAACCACAAGGGACGGATCCTAGGAAAACCCTAGGCTAGAGATCACCCCCCAAAACAAAAAGTTGGAGAATTCAAAGGACCCGAGTCGGAAAAATACAAAATTGATGAGGAAAAAATGCAATCTTTGATCAATGGAGACGCACGAGGAGAGCTTCTCCACCGCTAAGAGTCTAGAAGCAAACGCTCATCACATGCGCAAAAGAGAGAGAAGATAAGAGGAACCTGAAGCACCAAAGAAATGATCTTCCAATCTCAAAGCAGAACCACACAGCAGCAAAACACTTGAGAAGCAAAAACAGCTTCCACGGAGCCTCACAGCCTCATAAATTCCCAACATTTTCCCCCTTAATAAAAAAAACATACAAGTCATGCGTGAAATGATAAACAATTGCTCAGAAAATCTCCTCTGGGCCTACATTTCACTCTATTTTCCCTTTTTTTATTCTTTGCCCAGAATTTTTTTAATGCCCATTTTCAAATCCGGAGCCGAAAATGTAAAAAGAAAACGCAAAAGGGGAATGAACTGATCGTCCACTTCGATAATCTCCGCCTCTCTTTCCGCGCAAGCAACGTGGTGAAACCACGACCTTACAAATAATAACGTAAAGAAAATACTTCTTTTCTCTTCATTAGTTCCGGGGCCAAATGATAAATACAAGAAAATACCGGGGTCAAAAATAGAAAACCCGAAAGTATACTCCTGGTTTTCACTTTTCACCAGGAAAAGGGTAATCTTTTTGGGACATTAGTAACTGTGAATGATACTCTAAGCTGATTGGATGATTAAAGATAAGCAAAGGCTATGATGTCATCGAGAGGAATGAGACATAGGTCAAAAAGTAAATAATAAAATAAAAGTGGCGGTCCAAATCCATTTGATTTCTTGGAGTTAAGGATTATTATATTATTAAATATGTAAATAATTATTATATTAAGAGTCTTCACCTAGATAGAGGCGACTGGTTAAAGGAATCAACTTTGATTTGCTACAGGTTATTCGTAAAGGACCCTACTTTGATTTGTTAATCATTTATCATTGAGCCGTGCGTGGTTTTATAATCTTAATATCAAAATCTGGAAAACCCAAATATTTTTAATCTCTCATTGGATTTTTTTTTTCAAATCTCTACAACTTTGTAATATCATTCTCAAAATTAGATCAAGTTATATTTATAATAAGGGGAAATCTCATAAAAATACATGAATTTGACCAAATGTGCCACATAAATATATGAATTTTTTAATTTGATAAATTAAATCATGCATTCATTAATTTCTTCCAAAACAAGCCATGGACCATAAATATATGTTGAATGTGGTTTATCTGCCCATAATTTGACCAAATGTGCCACATTTTTTCTTTTGGGGTTTGCAGATTTCATCGGGGTTTCTCTACCAAATGACGAGTAAGAGGTGATTGCCCATAATTTACCGGCTGGAAATCTGACGAAATAAGTCGAAAAAACTGTCCAATCGGCTTGAAAGTCTTGGTTGAAGCATTCTAACATTTGGGTTTAGTTTATTATTTTATCCGGTTTAATATTATACCGTCTCGATTTCGATTTATTACACGTCGTTATGGTCTATGAGTTGATTTAAAAGAAATTGACGAATTCATGATTTAATATGTCAAATTAAAAACTCGTGTATTTCTACGACACATTTGGTCAAATTCATATATTTTTATGGGATTTTTCATAATAATAAGCGAACTAAAAGGAGTACTATATGCATATATATCGCAAACATTTGGTCCAAGTAATCAAGAGGACGTAGCCGATTGGTGTAATTGGTTGAGAAGAGTGGACGTGCTCTTATCCCAGATCCCATGTTCGAGCCATGGATTGGGGATGAAAGTCCATATTTGTGATACACATACTATTTCCGGATCTTGAGAGATATAGTAGGGACGAAGATTCGGATAACTTCCGAGTTAATAAAAAAAAACATTTGGTCCAAGTATTTTTTTTATATATATTTATAAAAGCATGGGCAAATTTAGATTGGTAGTATTTTATATATACACAAGTATGGGCAAAGTTAGATTGGTAGTGATGGGTGATCTGTCTTGATAACACCACTAAAATTAATTTATATACTATTAATATTAGTTTGATATAAGTATATGTTCTCATAAAACCAAATAGATCTTTTTTATTAATTATATTTTCGATAATTTTTAAAACATCTGCTAAATATATGTTTTTATATACAATAACAAGACAACATGATAGTTTCTAAACGTAATGTATTCATATCTTCGTTTTTTTTTTAACGTGAAGGAAGAATGTACATTAAATAATATAAGATTAATTATGTCATCAATTTCGTGGATTGTGTTTAAACACATATCAAACATGGGAATGGTAGTCATGCCCCGAGAGTTTCCCTCTTAATTTTTTTTTGGGTTGGGCCATATGAAAGAGAGAGTTTGGGCTTTAAGCCCATTCAAAGGCCCACTGGTGAAAATTTGCAACATTTTATTTATTTTATAATAATAATCAAATTTCCATTTTTTCCCCTTTTTTAATAAGAAAGGCAATATATATATATATATATATATAGAGAGAGAGAGAGAGAGAGAGAGTTCATCATTTAGCGTGGCTAAAAAGTGATAACACTAAGGTGTCATCATTCCATCCGGAACTGTTTATATAAATATATATATATATATGTATAAGAATATAAGTGTCATCATTTCACTCTCTGCATGGTTCGGAACCGATATTTCACGCGACACGTAGTATCGTTTCCATATTTCGAAATAAATAAACCGGACCGTAAAACTTTTAAAACAAAGCTTTTTTTAATTATAAATTGGGAAATACAACACAATAAGCAACAAACTTTGCTTTTATTCCCTCTAGCATCCACATTTTGGCAACACAAAGGGTAAAACAACATCTAGAACGATATTACTAAACCGGTTCGGTCCAAAAGTCTCGTCACGGCATCAGTTGATCTTGGCAGTGTTCTTGAAACTCCAGCTCCAGATCTCGTGGCGCTCGATCCCACGTCCCATGGCGCCGCTAAAACCAACGTACATTCTGTCGAGAAAAACCTTCGAGAGATCGATGTTCGTGTCGATCAAAGGCTTCTTCGGTTTCTTAACGTTTTCGGGCGAAATCGTGACCGTAAGCCTCTGTTTCGCGTATTCGATCCAAGCCGTGTACCGTTCTCCGTTGCTCAAATTCACCTCCTGGAACGACCACTCTCTTTTCGACCTGACCCAGTAACCAGCTTTATGAGAAACCACTGAAACGACGGAGTTTACGTCCACACCGACATGGTTTCCGTTTATGTCTCCGAGGCTTTTGTCCTGAACAACGTCGAACTCGACTGCGAAGGCGTGGTTGTTAGGGTTTCCGTTGTTGGTCCGGTTGAGGAAGCCGAGGAAACCAGCTGGTCCTGCAACATCGTGGGTCGCTTCAGGGACGATGATGAAAGCGAGGCCATGGCCAGGGATGGGGTTGGTCTTTTGGGGTTTGATGGAGAATGTGAAAGATGTTTCGAATGGAAAAGATGCCGAAGAAGAAGAAGAGTTGGAGGGCTTGAAAGGGATGGGGTTAATGTAGAGTCCACGACCATGGGAAAACGGCTCGTCCCGAGTCATGGAGAGCGATCCAGAGCGGCTGGTGCCATTGGGTGAGGCCCCGAGCTCGGCGTCTCCGAGGAACAACAAGTCCGTACCGTCGAATCTCTTGAAGTTGAACTTTACGGCGAAACTCGCCTGAGAGCAGAAGAGGGCAAGGAACAGAACAAGAAAACACAGCTGCATTGTGTTTGCGCTTAAGTGAAGAGATGAAGTGGTGAGAGCAGAAGAGATCTGTGCGTGTGTATATATAGGCGATGAGATGAGCCAGCAAGTTTTGAATTGTCAAAATAAATATTCAAAATTGATTTACTTGTCAAATATATTATAAAGAATGCACAGGTTGCCGTATAAAGAAATAGACCACAACGCCACCTTTTGTTACTGTAGTGATATATCTAATTTCATATATATATATATATATTGAATATTTTATCCCTTCGGGTCCCCGTGTATTGATCAACTAATCTTTTAATTTAAAGAAAAATGACATTTTTCTACGCCAATTTAGTAGGATTTTGATTTTTTTTTATACGAATTTTTAATTTGATAAAAACCTATACTATATTATTAAATGTCTCAAATTCATATACGAATTATCCAATTTTACTACAATTTACTACACAATCCAAAACGATGTTAAAATATCTGTTAATTGCTGACGTGGAATGCCATGACGGCTGACGTAGAAGGTCACGTAGAAAATTTTGTCACGTTTTAAAAAAAATTAAAAAAAATATTTAAAAAATTTTAAAAATTAAAATCGAAAATAAAATAAAATTTAAAAATTTTAAAATACATATATATATACATACATACAAACATATATAAATACATATATACATATACATATATATATATAAATATATGCAATGCATATATATATATATGCATATATATATGTATATATGCATACAAAATAAAAAAAATACATATATATACATACATCTATACGTATATATGCATATATATATATATATATTCATATCTATATACAAATACAAATATAAATATATATATTCCTATGTATAAATATATCTATATATATATACAAAATAAAAAATATATACATGCATATACATACATCTATACAAATATATATATATATATATATATATACATATAAATATATTTATATATACATAAATTTTTAATTTGATATACAAGTATATATTTATATATACATAAAAAAAAATACATATATATACATATACATACATACGAATATATTTATATATACACAAATATATATATATATATATATTTATTTATTTGTATAGATGTATGTATATATATATTTGTTATTTTTATGTATATATAGAGATATATTCATACATAAGAGTATTTATATTTGTATTTGTATATAGATATGAATATATATGTATATACATATAGATGTATGTATATATTTGTATTTTTTTTATTTTGTATGCCTATATATATATATGCATTGCATATGTTTATATATACATATATGTATATATGTATATATATTTATATATGTGTATGCATGTATATATAAATATATTTGTATGTATGGGTATGTATATATGTATTTTTTTTAGTTTTTTTTTTAATTTTTAATTTTTTAAAATCCGACGTGGCATGCTGATATGGCAAAATTTTCTATGTGGCATTCCACGTCAGTCGCCACGTGGCCTTCCACGTCAGCAATTAACGAACATTTTAACACCGTCTCGGATTGTGTAGTAAATTGCAGTAAAATTGGGTAATTCGTGTATGGATTTGGAACATTTGATAATATAGTGTATGTTTTTATCAAATTAAAAATTCGTGTAGGAAAAGGTCACATTTTACTAAATTGATGTAGGAAAATGTCATTTTTTCTTAATTTAAGGGGTTCTTGGCTAAGTGTGACAAAAAGATGACATGTTTAGAAATCTATGCCTTTTTTTTATCTTTTGAAAACTATACCTTTTTATAAATTTTTGACAAAATTACCCTTACTTTATTGTATAATTTCAATATTGCCATTTAGCGTCCCGAAAAATGTGCAGTATAAAAAGCAGATTTTTTTGGAAACTGTATAATCCGGGAGAGCTGTTTTTAATCCGGAAAAGTCTGTTTTTATCCGGGAGAACTGTTTTTTGTCTGGGAGAACTGTTTTCCGTCTGGGAGAGTCTGTTTTTTGTCCGGGAGAACTGTTTTCGTCCGGGAGAGTCTGTTTTTTGTTCGGGAGAATTTTTTGTGTCCAGGAGAATTGTTTTTGTTCGAGAGAGTTAGTTTTTGTCCGGAAAAATCTTTTTTTTTTATTCAGGAGAACTGTTTTTTGTCCGGAAGGACTGTTTTTTGTCCGGAAAAATCTATTTTTCGTTTGGAAAAATTTGTTTTTTTTGTCCGGAAGAATTTTTTTTCGAGAGAGTTATTTTTCGTTCGGGAGTGTACGTTTTTTGTCCGGATGAAAAATAGTTCTCACGTATAAAAAAATTGTTTTTCATATAAATTTTTTTTCCCTGATGAAAACAATTTTCTAAAAAAAAATTATTCTCCCGGACGAAAATAGACTTTTTCGGATAAAAAACAGTTCTTTTGTATAAAAAAAATCTTTCCCAAATGAAAACCAATTCTTTCGGACGAGAAATAGTTTTTCTTGATAAAAAAAATTATTTTTTCGTATACAAAACAGTTAAACCAAATAAAAACAGATTCTCACATATGGAAAATAATTATCCCGGATGAAAAAAACAGTTTTCCGATATAACACAGTTTTTCAATAAAATATATTTTTTATGCTGTAATTTTTTTGAAATGTTTAATGGCAATATTGAAATTATATAATAAAGTAAGGGTATTTTTATCAAAAAAATTATAAAATAATATAGTTTGCAAATGAAGAAAAAAAAGGTATAGATTTTGGATACTGGTGTAAATTTCCTCTAATTTAATGTAACGACAATACAACAAAAAACGTGATAGGGACTTGTCCCTATAATTTCAATTTGTTTGTGGCTTTTTTTTTATTGACTCATGGCATGCCATCAATGATACAAATCTAGAAACATGTGGCGTGTTTTTTCCTTTTTCAATCAGGGCTCCATATCTGGAAAATATCCCAAAAATAAATATAAAAAATTAGAAGAAAGAGAATCATAGATAATGATTATTAGGGTATATAAGATTCGGATATTCGAATCTTTTTGGTGTTACCGGTTTTGGTTTCACTCCTCTCAATTTGTAATATTCGATGAGATGAAGATTTGGGTATCGACAGGATATCTCAACTCGCGAGCCACATGCACGTGGTACTCGAATTTCGGAGTTTTCGTGCTTGTTCTTTTTGTTTTTTTTTTTGTTTTTAAATTTCGCGCTTGTTCTTAATGATTAGAGTGGGATAAAGAGTAAATAGAATATGGTAGGGTAAAAAACGATTATTTAAATAAAATAAAAATGATAGATATTTTGTTTTGAAATAGAGCGATAAGAAAAGTTAACTGTTTAATATAGAGGGTGCAAAACGAGTCTCATCTGCACAACCGACTCGCGAGTCCGCTCGTTTTTTTTTCCGAGTTGGTTTGAAAAAATATGAGCTCGAAAAAAACGGATTCACGTCACGGGTCAGTTCGGGAACCGTTTTTTTCAAAAAAAAATAATTTTTTTTGAATATTTTAATATTTTTATTTAATTATTTATATTGTATTTATTTCTTTTATATTTTATTTAACTCGTGAATTAGGTATCGAGTCAAAAAAATTCTGGAAAAGGAAAAACGGGTTACAAACATATCGGGTCAGACCGAGTCAGCACATTTAATATCCCAGCTTAATATAAATAAATAATATGACTATAGATAAATTATATATTATATTGTAATATTCAATCTGCGAACTAATTCTCTACCTCACAAATGATCAATAAACGACGACAACAATAATCCGGACCGTCGGCCGTGGGGTGGGGTTGCACGTCTTCTCTGAACAAAAAAAGCCTCGTGTCATGTCGTCGTATCATCGATGTCCATCCATGATGTTTAATTGAATCGCATTCTACTAGTGTCTTACAATCGATTTCTGTTATACGACTATATACAGATCATTAAATGAACATATACGCATCTATAGTTTAATTTAATCTAGATTATTAATTCCCCAATAGCGGTCTAGTTTATATTAAAAGTTCGATATAGTAGCATTTTAATCTACACCTTTGTATATAACTTTTTTATATATATATATATAAATAAATGTCCAAAACCTAGATATATGATAACAAATAAACAAAAGGTGGCGGGCGGGTGTTGTGGTCATTTTGCATGGGCTTCAACAAAAAGCATGCAACTTGGGGATTGTTTATTTGGCGAGAGGGCCACTCGTTTCAAATTCGTAGGCTCATCCAATAATTCATCGCTTCATTATCTTCACGTAACACGACGCAATCCCACAAACTGTGTCTGATGGGGACCCCGACGATAATCTTGTCCGTTTTTTGTTGTTGTTGTCCTATTATTGTGGAAGAGGTCAACGGCCAGAAACGGACAAGGGGTTGGTCGGGACTTGGCTGGTCTCATCTGCCTGAACCTTTCTGACTCTGGCCTTGTCGATTCGTGCCCTTCTCACAGCTTCCTGGACATGGCGGTCGTGCTCTTTCAGCATCTGGTCCATGTTTCCCGATGGAACCACCAACGGCCCTGAGTAGTGAATCTTGTAGCCTTTTGATCCATATCCCATCTGAAACGTAACCACAACGAGGGGAATGGATCGATATTAACAACAAGAACCCTCCGTTACTCATCCGATCTTCCAAGAAACCACAACATATGGTCGGATTTGCATGGTATGAGCGTGTATGTGTATACACAATGCAAGCATTATCGGGATAGCACTTACGAGAATTGGGTCTTGCTTGTTGCTTCTACCATCATTCCTCTGGTTAGATTCTGCAGAGATCTCGACGGCTCCTTTGAAGGATCCCGAGAGCCGAGCCATTCCTCTGACAGTCTCTTGCTGCGAACCGCTGGTCCTAGCTGCAGCCAAACCCGGCATTGCGGCCGAGGCTTTGTGGGAATCATCGTAGTTTCTAGTAGCCGAAGCAGACCTACGAGCCAGGGGACCTGAATGCGAAGCTCTCTTATGAGGGATGCCCTGAGAATCTGCCTTACTCTCCGAGGTTTGCAATGGCCTCGGTGGATCGATAGGGAAACCGGAAGCAACTTCTTCAGGATGTGGATTAAACTTCTCGCTCCGGCTTCTTGAAGTAGACTGGCCCTGTCTTTTCTGCAAGTATTAAAATTGCAAGTGCACCTGATAAATGATTGAAGCTCCGAAAAAAAAAACAAGATTATGAAGGACAGAATCTGACCTGCATTGATGCGGCTAATTCTGCGTTGGCCTCGGGCGCAGGGACGGCTCGAGATTCCTTTGATACTCTCCTTTCTTGGCGTATATGGTTATTGTTTCCTGCCACCCCTTGCCTATCCAGTAGAGAGAGACAACTATATCAGTATCCCCCCGGAATTTTCCTTTCAAATCCCACAAACTCGAAGCAGAGATAAAACTGCCCGTAATGAGTAATGGCGGTAATAATATACACCTTCTAGCTTCTTCATCCCGCATCCTCGCGTCAAGCTCTTTGCAGGGAGGGTATTTCGGCAAGCTTGAAGGGTCGCACGGGAGGGGTTTAATAGTGAAGAACTGTGGGGGAAAAACGATCTTTTTGAAATTAGAAAGGCGGGTTCGGCCAGGAGATTTCACTAAAAGCAAGAAATACGATCACACAGTATGAATGCCATACCTCGCTCTGGAGGGCAGAGGCAGCAGTTCCACGTTCATCGGGATTGACTAAAAGTAAGGTTTCAAGAAGGTCTAAAGCTGGCTCAGGAAACTCCCTAAATGTTTCGGCCACAACACGTCGATATGGCTGTTGAGGCTTGAAGATTGTTGCATGAGGCAGCTTTGATTTTCTCCAATAGTCCTCGGAAGGCGAGCCACATAGCTTGAAGATCTTGTGCAACTGTTCCACCTGCAAAGCAACATGTTTCCGATAAAGATTACTAATCATCTCAAAGGATCACAGTCCTTTAGACTCGGGTTCTTAACTTCTTTTTTGAGATTATCAACACGATGATAAGCACGAGCCATGGGCAACAAAATTCATTTTCGTATCTAGGAGCTACAAAATCTACCTCGGTTCTTCCGGGCATAATAGGCTTGCCTGCATATAGTTCTGCAAGAATGCAACCTGTACTCCATAAATCCACAGCAGCTCCGTAGTGAGTTGCTCCGAGCAAAAGCTCGGGTGGTCGGTACCAAAGGGTTACCACGCGACTCGTCAAAGGCTGAGTTTGATGAGGATCAAAGAAACTAGCCAGACCAAAGTCAGCAATCTTTAGTACTCCATTGTTATCTATCAGAAGGTTCGAGCCCTTTATGTCCCGATGCAGTACACCACGAGTGTGACAATGATCCAGGCCACGTAGAAGTTGCTGCATGTAACATTTGACCTGGAAAAACACAAAACCGAACATCAGAGATTTGCTGTAATAAAGCAATTAGTAACTAGGTCAAGAAAGACGTTGAATAGAACACGATAAAGATACAAGAATGAAAAAATGAAAAGTACTTGTGATTCAGAAAATTTAATTGCAGGATGTGAGGCTAATCCAGCTAAGTCATGCTCCATGTACTCAAAAACAAGATACAAGCTGCATGACATTCTTGATGTAACTAAGCCTTCCAGCTTTATGACATTCGGATGATCAAGCCGGCGCAATATGTGGATTTCTCTTGCCATAAAACGCACGCTTTCAGGCTCCAAATTATCAAACCTAACTTTCTTCAGCGCCACGATCTTCTTTTGGTCAAGATCCCGAGCCCTATATACATTACTATAAGTCCCCTGACCAATCTGCAAAGAAAGAACAAATCAAATTTCAGTGTCAGACACAAAGATCGGGCGACCAGTCATTTTGGTTTAAGAGCGGTATGAGGAGCATCGGCATCTTCCTTCTCGGGTACAGTAGAAAGAGCCTGCAAGTCATGGACCAGTTCAAAAGCCTAAAGCTTGCATCTCCACCTAGACTTTCTAGTAGTGACTCGTTCTACGATTCGATATAACATGAATCGAAAAGACAACTAACTGACCAAAACTAACCGCACTTTCAATGGGATGGTTAGGAATAAACCTTACAGAAATGAAGTGTAGATAGAGAAAGGAGCATACTTTATCCAACTTCTCGAAAGAATCTGCACGACGTGGTACCCAACCACGGATAGCCTCTCCAGCCACAGCGGCCAACCACGGAGGCCATCCGGCTGCAACATGCTCTCCTTCAGTTGCCTTTGGTATGCTTCCCATTGCAATCTTCGCCATCCTCTCCCCCTTCCTATTGAAATCCTCTCCACGAAAACGCATCGGAGGATTTCCTTGCTTATCACTCAACACCGGTCTTACGCTCGTTCCATCGGATCGCTCCTTCGTTCTTAGAGATTCTTCTCTTCTAGACGAAGTAACCGCTCCAGAAGCCCTAACCTCGGCGGCGGATTTGCTGGAGAGACGCTCTCTCGGGGGACTCTCTTTGCTATCTTCGATAGCAGAGGGCTTGCAGCAAACACAACCCATCGTCCAATTCACTGCAACTCTCCGCAAAATCTCTTACACTAAAAGCAAAAGAGCTCCTTCAAAACTTTTCCATCTTCTAGTTCTTCCTCTCCCAATACCATCCTCGTCATAAACCCCCCACCAAAAGCCATCCACAACCAGGAAACGGACCACATGGGACAACACAGGCACGGAATGTCTGAAACCAACCAAAGCTAATGAAATCCAGGAACACTTGAAATCGAAGAACCCTGAGAGCAAAAATTATATTTTCCTTCAATTTGCAAAATCACACAATGTACCCAGATCATGAAATGGACTCGAACATTGATTTACGAGCATAAACAGGAAACATCCAGAATCCAAAATCCCTAATTTCACGAAGATATCAACACCGCTGAGTATATAAAGTAAGCACCTTTCCTGAGTATCTTGCAGCGAGAGACGACCGCACTGCCTGAGGCAAAAGGGAAATCGTTTGTTTTGCCAAAAGTTCAAGAAAAAGATTGAAACTTTTTTATAAAATTTCCGACAGGAGAGAAGAAAATTAAAGGGGAGGTTTTTTTTTTTTACAGTGTCTGCATAAGAGGGATGGATCTAGGGCGCAGAGATTTTGATGAGAGACGCATGTGTTGTAGCAGCACACAGGGGAGAAAGAGAGTACAGTTTTGAAGGAATGGAAAATCACACAAGATGGAAAAAAAATAAACAACAAAAATAGCAAGAAAATCCGAAATTAGCGGGTTGAATAAATAAACTCGATTATCATTATTGTTGTTGTTGGTTAAATTAATATTTCCTCGACGTTCGTTGTAATTATCGTGCTTATCATATGGTTTTATAAAAATAATATATTATTATTATATGGTTCACGGCTGCATGGAAAGGGAGTCGTCTGATATAATTAATTTTTGTATTCTTTGTATTATTTTGTTTTCTTGTGGAGAAAAGAGAATTGAAATTGGACATGCCAACGACATTCTTTGACGTGAATCGTAAACAACACGCGCCTTTGAAGAGGAATGATAATCTCAATATAAAATATATACCAAAATAAAAATAAAAACAATGATATATTTCTTTTTGTTCACCAATAAGAATAATATGATGGATTGGAATTGCTTAATTATTAATATAACTAGGTGAGACCCGCGCGTTGCGCGGGTTATTCTATTTTTTAAAAAAAATTATAGTATTTATTAATATAAATTTAGTATAAATGATATAGATTATTTATTTGATTTAGAAAAAGTATATTTATAATATTAAAATATTAAAAAATCATGTATTTAAAGAAATAAAGAAGTAAGGAGACATGAATATTATTGCATAGGCTATTTATAAAATTGCTCATAATAATTTGTTCTAAACATGCTTATTGTTGATCTATTTATTTCAATCTCTCTACAAAAATTATTTATAAGGTAATACTAAAAGTTATATTATTAAATATTATAGTTATCATTTGTTTTAAGAATAGTTAAATTTGCATTAGTTGTTATGATCATTTTTTTATTAGGTTGACTTTTTTATTTTTTCATAAATGATATGATGTGTGAGTGATACAAACCTAAATCAAAAAAATCATTAGTTAACTTAATAAAGGAAAAAATAATAAAAATATTAGTTAACTTAATATAATAATATTTTTATTTTATATCATACGTATTTCATATTTAAAAGATAAATTAACCTAAAAATCACCAATTTTCGAAAAACTTTCATATAGATATAAAAACTTTAATAGTTTTTCTAACAATTATTTTATTCATTGTAAACCGATTCATGTTGCTAGATCATCTCATGTAAAAAAGTTTAAAAATATTGTTGTTATTTTTTAAATCAAAATTATATGTTTGAATTTATATGATGGAGAATATTCTGGACATTACAAATAAAGATTATATAAATGTATCATCAAAATCGAACAACGATATTTTGATTTTATTTGTAATTAAAGTAAGATGTGATAATTTTATTAAAAAATGACATTTTGATAAGATTACAGTAATGGTTTGATTAAAATAATAAATATATTTTAACTCTATTATAAACAGTTTATTGCATATATTAAGTTTTTCGGCACACTTCAGTTTAATATTCTTTTATCGTAAATCTTGTATTTTGCATAATATTTTAAAATTTTAATATGTTGTATGTTTTTATATAAATTATTGGGGTAATCGCCAAAAAAAACCCTGTACTTTTTTTATTACCAATTAAACCCTGTACTTGATGTGATTAATTTATAATAAATGAACCCCCATGAGAAAATAATATGATGATGTGATATAATTATGATGATATGTTCATTCCATGTCATTGTCACATCATCATTTTTGTTTGAATTGACAGTCGCAGGGGATTTTCGGTTAATTTTTAAAAAGTACAGGGTTTTATGGATTAATCATACCAAGTATAGGGTTTAATTGGTGATAAAAAAGTACATAGTTTTTTGTTGACCTAGAAAAAGTACAAGGTTTTTTTGGCGATTATCCCTAAATTATTTTCAATATATTTTGTATGAAAAGGTTGAATATGAATTATTTTTATGTGATCTCATATTTTGATAGTCCATTGAAGAATTAATGATTTATATGTAGATCATATTGGTGGTGACTTTTTTGTCATTAAGTTTTCGTATGATTTAGAATTTTCAATCCTTCTAAAGAAGAATTAAGATCGGTCTTTACAAATATAAAAATATAAAATATATTTGTATATAGATAAATACATAAATCTGTATATAGTTCCGAGTTCGATTTTTGTATATTTTTCTCATTTATTTATATAATAATAATAATAATAATAATAATAATAATAATAATAAAAAGTATGTCATTATATTTACTTTTTGAAATAAACAATTTATTTTCAACAATATTATAAAGATTTTGATTAAGTTTTAAATTATATTTTATTTAAAAATTAAAATAAAGTTTGATTGACTTATAATGCAATAAGGTTTTATAAACTTTTTATTATAAAACTTTATTATTATAATGTTCTCGACAACTTAAATAATTTGCATATTAAAAATATAAATAACTCATCTAAAACTTGTAAAAACATCATGAAGGTTTTGTTTTATGTAAATTTTGAGAAAAAATAGAGAAGAAATTATTTTGTTTTAAATGCTATTAATATAAATAATATATATATGATATTATAGATGTATAATAAATTTTATTAAAAACAATAATTAAGTTTATCCAAATTACTTTCGTCCAATTATTTACCTTAACTATATTTCAAAATTTTATCATTTAGTTTATATGATAACTCAAAATTATCTAAAACCACACTCATCTAATTTTTACTTTATGACAATTATCTACCCAATTTGAAAAATAAAATTCCAAAACAACCAAACATATATATAATCAACATAGTTTCATTCCATCACACTCTTAATTTACATTGAACCGAATCCCAAGAGTCAAACCAATACATATCAACGCCTCATGTTTTTAGTAATTAGGAGTAAAAAACCAGAGCTTCAACTATCTGCAAACACAGAAAACGATTTTTATTAAGAACCTCATATCAGTGAAACTCTACCAATGACCTGGCCATAAAAAGATCTTATCCATAACCCGGTCAGTGAAACCAGATTCTTTATGCAACACAACACCAAATCGAATAACTTTTCAAATGTGAGAATTGTAGAGTTGTAATCGCTACCATAGGAATCGCTCTGAAGAACTAAAATGTTTCTATTAACTCAAAACTATAGCAGACAATCTTCCGAAACTCTATATTTATATGAATGAATGAACAATCGATTTAGAGAAAATTGGGAATCTGCTAACACCTCATATTTGTTGCTTCAACAAATTTCTCTCACATTCTCAACAATGAAAACATTTTATTATACATTAACACTCATACAAACTTCTCGATTTCATCCGAAACCGAATAGGATTATAGAAGTTAAGTTTGCAATAATCTTACACTTGTTTTTATAGAACAAATTTAGAAACCAACACTTAACAGTCACAAATTTAAAATTAAAAACCCGCAACATTAAGAATTGACTTCAACTTCTCTTTTGAGTTTTGAGGTATAATACAACACTCACCCTTAACTCAAAAACTCATAACGTTACAATCTTTAACTTTCGATCACAAATTTTCTATCTTCATAACAATCACTTTTCTCGAATGCAAAACTGCCTTATCTCGAGTTCTCAAATAAGTTTTTCGAGTACACATTTATCCCTTCTTGAGTCCGCAACCATTTCCGAGCTCATCTATTTAAGGCATAAATTTGTACCAAACTCAAAACATTTGCCGCTTCGTAACATTTTTCCACCTTTATACTCTGTATATATCTTTTATATATTATGTATACTTAATGAAATTGACATTCATCTTTTCATATATATATATATATATTCTTTGATTTGGGTTACATGAACATGAATGTCAATTTTTTAGTGACAAAAAAAGTGTTTAGAACTCATCAAAACCCGAGTTTATGATACCAACGACTGAAGATGTTTCTTTTCTTATAATACAAATATAAAATAGAAAAAATACAAATATATATATACATACATACTATACTCTGTATATATCTTTTATATATTATGTATACTTAATGAAATTGACATTCATCTTTTCATATATATATATATATATATATATATATATTTTTTT